GTCACACCGTCAGATTTGGCAAACTTTTTAAGTAAACCTTGGGCAACGAGTTTTTTCCTTTCCATGGAAACAGGACCACGACCCCACTGGCGAGGATAGAGATCACGCTCCATTATTACTCTTTTCAGTTTTGCGACTAATCCATGGTCACACGTCGCGATTGTTGCAGTAGTCATTAGTGCGACAGCTTGAAGTTAATGTTAGTCTGAAACGACCTACCAAGAGCTACGGCTTCGCCTTTGGTAGTCATCAAGACTATTTCATCGTTGACATTGATGTCGTTGTCGTAACGGAGTACGCCAGGCAACATAAGTTTCGCACCGAAGCAAATAGCGCACACCTAATCTACACATGCTTCTATACGTAAAGGAACTTACGGCAGTATCCTTAAGCATAATTCGTTTGTGCTTGATTAGCAGCTTTTCAAGAGGCATTATAACACGACGCAAATAAGTCTCATCTCGCCTATTGTCATAAAGCCACTTGGCATCTAGTATGTCATGCATAGTGACCAGGTTGTCCTGCAATATGAAGGACTTTGATTGGACATACCCTTTCAGACATAAAACCAGTTTTCGACCGCCTAAGTTCCTCCATAACACCTCCACAACCTAGAAGCAAGCCCAAATGCACGCAAAGCGTCCGAACATACGTCCCAGCCTCACAGCGCACCATTATTAACCCTAAATTTAGTGTTGCAGGATCACAAGACTTACCCAAATTTTTACTTTTTTCATACTCTAACAGTTTACACTCGTATATTGTACGAACTCTGAGTTGGCGCTTAACAGCAGCAACTAGTGGGGGTCTCTGGAATAATGCTCCAGTTAGCCCTTCTACAGCCTATAGACGATCAATAAGGGACAAAGGTCAGTCTTGCGTCAACCGAGATGCAAAAATGCTGACAAGTTTAGAAACCGCTTACTTTTTGTATTTTTTTGATCTCGTCCACGGACTCGTGAAGTCTAAATATGCACACATACTCCTTACCAGCACTTTGCTGAGACTTCACTAGCCTAGTAGCACGGTCGATACAGACAATAAGACAGCCTGAGCCACTAAGAGTGAAATTGCCATACCTGAAACTTTGGGATCTAAAGTGCCACTATGACCAGTTTTGTTGACTCCAAGGGCCCGTTTCACCCACGCAACAACTTCATGCGACGATGGGTTGCATGGCTTGTCGAGGTTGATAACTCCACTCCTTAAAAGTTAGAGAGATGGTTCAGACAAACTTGATGTATTCATCCAGAGGTCTGTGTAAAGGAGAGTAACCTGTTGTATCGGCCTCAAAATGGCACTCGCGTACATTCATAAGATGAACATTCTGAGTCTGAGGGGTGGTTATGAAATACCTACTTTTAACAATAATGGCCATTGGCTGCAATCCAAAGTAGGTTTCTTGTCCTCTGAAATTACCGCAAAGGACTCAGATGCCTGAATAGCCTGAAATAAATTAACAAATAAGCAGAGACAAGAACTTACTCCCACATCACCAGCTCTAACTTTGTGTTTCTTCATACCAGTGTCACGCGGAATGAACAAGCACGCCGTCAAGGTCTAACAGCTTTATGAATGCGTATAAACAAACAACTTCTTCAGTATTTAATAGCAAATAACCACTATTTTCCATCACCCAAAAAAAGTTTTCGTTCTATGAATGAAATGATATTCTTGCTAATACCATTGCTCGTGTATGTTTGCCTAAGCGATTACGTGATCATCTCAATGGAAGACTTTCATCAATGTTCTGTTTCCCAAAATGATTTACTAAGAAAAGAAGGGTCACTTAAGGCTTCACCTTTGACATGCTTCTTTTCTGAGTCACACATGCCCCATGATTTGTGTGGACACTGTTACATCATAAATCGTCCCGCATCCGAGAACCACTTCACGTGATATTCTTCGTCCCAATTTTTATCACCATTCTACAGCCAGTGAATCATATCATCATGAGGCTTGTAATTAGGGTCCTAACCTCCAAACTATTAGAAGTCTACTCTAGAGTGTGACAAAACACTAAACGTCAAATTCTACCGTTATTTACTCAACCTCATATGAAGATTACACTGTAAGGATCTTTTCAGAGACGATTTACTGAATCGGTACTGTGAATGAGACTCTGCTGTTTTACTCCTGAAAGCGCTAAAGAAATACGGATGAACTGAAAAGGTTCAAAGTTGTTTATTAGTGAAGCCATCGACAGAACAATATACCGACTTTATCTATGGTTGATAAATTTAGTCACGAGAAAACACTTTATTTATGGTGACAGTTATCAGTCAATTTTTCTCCCGGGACTTCCAATAGCTCCATCAACTATATCAATCATATTACGCAATCATCAGTTCATGACAGTGCCATACGACTGTGTTGAGAGATTTTTATGAACCATTATTTGTCATATTGATTGAGCATTAACGAGTGAGAGATAGGCAGTGTTGTTTTAAACGCGGATTAATTTTGGTTATCCAGAATATATCTACGTCAATGGATTAAGCGATAGTGGCAGTCTAACGTGGTGTCACGACGGTAATTCATAGCTGATATACTTGATCATGTTACATAGAAATATTCATATACATAATTCTCATTTAATATTGGTCTGAGCGGTCCATATCCAGACCAACTTGTATGACTTACAACCATATTATAGTAAAGTTATCACACCGGCTCAGCATGACATCATTAAACAGTAACCTTGTAATTACCTATGGTTGTAACCATGTTGAAGCACCTAGAAAATTGTTTTGTTAGCGTAGCATATCACAAGAGAACATATATCAGAAGGAAGTCCATAATGTAAAATGAAGTGGAATGCACGGAAAAGGAATGAGACACATAATTAATTCCAGACAAGTATTCGGTCATATCTTGAATTAACTATCAATCTATATCCACTCACGTTGATTAAGCGCTGTAAGATCCATTTTGAAGGTTTTGTGTGTAAAAATCCCTCCATGTATACATTTGTAATTTGTTCTTATTGATCCCTTTATTCGTATACTTCGTTAGTCTTTTTGATTCTATTGAGTTGTTAATATTTGTATTTTATTATAGTTTTCATTTTTCTTATGCCTTCAATAAGTTTCCATGTTTCTTTCAAAACTGCATTTATGTTGTTTCACTTGATACTTATTCTTGACGGCAGCCATATTGCTTTGTTCCTCCTTTTGACTGTGCTGTTTGTATTGACTGGAATTGTGTATCATTGATTGTTAATTGAAGCACTTTTCCAGAATTGAAAACACTCTGTGTTACAAAGCAACCAAATATCTTTTGAACGAATCTGTGCGTTGTCTATCCAGGCAGGATAGAATAGCATTTATTTGTTGCGATTGTTTTGATCAATTAAAAAACTAATGGTTGAATAGTTGGGTGGTCATATTTGTTAAGGTAACAGTGTACATTTAAATTTATAATGAATTTCATAACTGTCATTTTACCCAATCATTTGGTTTTGGTTTCAACCGGGCAAGGGCGCGTATCTAACCCACCTGGACAGCTATTCTTCAGTCCAAACCATAGTTCGGATCTAACAAGCGCTATATTTGCTAGTGGAGGATATCTTAACAAACCTACTGGAGCATTAAGAGCTAGTTAATGAGGCATAACCACAGTTCGTTACTTTCCTGTATCAAGTGATATAGTAAGCTGAATCTGGATACTGACCAACACTATGATAACACAGAGAATGTGAGCACTAATCAACGATCTCATAGCAGCCTGAGTTGGGTGGTCAAGTGCCTGTTGAGGACCTTACACTGTTATTTAAAATTACGGTTGAAGTACTTATCGACCCTCTTATTTTGTGTAGCCGTTAAATTTCCTGTTATTCCATATCGAATGCTAAAAGGTCGGTGTGTTTAGAAAATAAGACTCTCAGGCTCTTTGTGATCAACCTATTGACAATAAATCACCTTCAAGACTTTAATATCTGTTGAACGATATGTCAACATAGATCCACTAAGTGATGAGTCCTTTATTTAGCACAAACATTCCGTTTTTTATGTACTCTTTGGACAGTGATCTTTCTGAAGTTTTAGTTGGATTATTCTTGTCTTCGTTATAAGCACAACTCTCTAGATTGCACGCTTTCAATGAAAACTAATTTACCGTAGTCCATATTTTGTTAGAATGTTTGTTACATGTGTTAAAATGGCAAGGTGAATGCAATCGGGAAATAGTATATGAGCACAACTTTTTACCTTTGAAAATAAGTACTCTTACAACTACGAAGCACCGACTCCTATAATTTGACCATATCGAGCAGGAGTTGTAGCAGGTCTATACAAATAATTAGCATAGAAACATCTGCAACAACAAAAACCCAGTGGATGGGTTTGCGTAAACCCACGTTAAGGTAGACGTATAGTTGCCCATATGTTGCGATAGGCTTTCTGTTTGCCGCCTGTAAGTTTGAAACCGATTCGTGAAGTCGTTCGTTAAAATTCGTTGAAGAACTCCAACTTCTGCACCCGTATCAACAGGTTAGCGAAATTTCGTTATCAAATATGTGACGTATAACAGACGGTTGTGTTCGCCGTTAACGGCTTTGCATTTAAAGTTTATGTCACACTCTAGAGTAGACTTCTAATAGTTTGGAGGTTAGGACCCTAATTACAAGCCTCATGATGATATGATTCACTGGCTGTAGAATGGTGATAAAAATTGGGACGAAGAATATCACGTGAAGTGGTTCTCGGATGCGGGACGATTTATGATGTAACAGTGTCCACACAAATCATGGGGCATGTGTGACTCAGAAAAGAAGCATGTCAAAGGTGAAGCCTTAAGTGACCCTTCTTTTCTTAGTAAATCATTTTGGGAAACAGAACATTGATGAAAGTCTTCCATTGAGATGATCACGTAATCGCTTAGGCAAACATACACGAGCAATGGTATTAGCAAGAATATCATTTCATTCATAGAACGAAAACTTTTTTTGGGTGATGGAAAATAGTGGTTATTTGCTATTAAATACTGAAGAAGTTGTTTGTTTATACGCATTCATAAAGCTGTTAGACCTTGACGGCGTGCTTGTTCATTCCGCGTGACACTGGTATGAAGAAACACAAAGTTAGAGCTGGTGATGTGGGAGTAAGTTCTTGTCTCTGCTTATTTGTTAATTTATTTCAGGCTATTCAGGCATCTGAGTCCTTTGCGGTAATTTCAGAGGACAAGAAACCTACTTTGGATTGCAGCCAATGGCCATTATTGTTAAAAGTAGGTATTTCATAACCACCCCTCAGACTCAGAATGTTCATCTTATGAATGTACGCGAGTGCCATTTTGAGGCCGATACAACAGGTTACTCTCCTTTACACAGACCTCTGGATGAATACATCAAGTTTGTCTGAACCATCTCTCTAACTTTTAAGGAGTGGAGTTATCAACCTCGACAAGCCATGCAACCCATCGTCGCATGAAGTTGTTGCGTGGGTGAAACGGGCCCTTGGAGTCAACAAAACTGGTCATAGTGGCACTTTAGATCCCAAAGTTTCAGGTATGGCAATTTCACTCTTAGTGGCTCAGGCTGTCTTATTGTCTGTATCGACCGTGCTACTAGGCTAGTGAAGTCTCAGCAAAGTGCTGGTAAGGAGTATGTGTGCATATTTAGACTTCACGAGTCCGTGGACGAGATCAAAAAAATACAAAAAGTAAGCGGTTTCTAAACTTGTCAGCATTTTTGCATCTCGGTTGACGCAAGACTGACCTTTGTCCCTTATTGATCGTCTATAGGCTGTAGAAGGGCTAACTGGAGCATTATTCCAGAGACCCCCACTAGTTGCTGCTGTTAAGCGCCAACTCAGAGTTCGTACAATATACGAGTGTAAACTGTTAGAGTATGAAAAAAGTAAAAATTTGGGTAAGTCTTGTGATCCTGCAACACTAAATTTAGGGTTAATAATGGTGCGCTGTGAGGCTGGGACGTATGTTCGGACGCTTTGCGTGCATTTGGGCTTGCTTCTAGGTTGTGGAGGTGTTATGGAGGAACTTAGGCGGTCGAAAACTGGTTTTATGTCTGAAAGGGTATGTCCAATCAAAGTCCTTCATATTGCAGGACAACCTGGTCACTATGCATGACATACTAGATGCCAAGTGGCTTTATGACAATAGGCGAGATGAGACTTATTTGCGTCGTGTTATAATGCCTCTTGAAAAGCTGCTAATCAAGCACAAACGAATTATGCTTAAGGATACTGCCGTAAGTTCCTTTACGTATAGAAGCATGTGTAGATTAGGTGTGCGCTATTTGCTTCGGTGCGAAACTTATGTTGCCTGGCGTACTCCGTTACGACAACGACATCAATGTCAACGATGAAATAGTCTTGATGACTACCAAAGGCGAAGCCGTAGCTCTTGGTAGGTCGTTTCAGACTAACATTAACTTCAAGCTGTCGCACTAATGACTACTGCAACAATCGCGACGTGTGACCATGGATTAGTCGCAAAACTGAAAAGAGTAATAATGGAGCGTGATCTCTATCCTCGCCAGTGGGGTCGTGGTCCTGTTTCCATGGAAAGGAAAAAACTCGTTGCCCAAGGTTTACTTAAAAAGTTTGCCAAATCTGACGGTGTGACAAATAACCCGAACTCTGTTGGGTAAGTGGTCAATGTTTGATAACGCGTACTTCAGATCCAAAACCAAAATGGAAGTAAGTGAGGCTGGGGAAGCTGTAACGTAAGTTCACTATTTATCTTCGATATCTTTCATAGACGGCGAATTAAAGCACCAAATCCTTCCGACTCAAGTGACGATGAAATGACAAGGTACGTTTAGAATACAATGGCTATGATGATCAAGCATATGTCTGTTTCAATTGATGACGCTATTATCTGAATGTCGCTTCGTTTTTTTATCCATCCGAACTAAGTCAGATTTTTTTTACTTTTCAGCAAAAATTTGAACGATCACGACAGGTGAGTTTCACTAATATCGTTAATGATGAACAAGCATATGTCTGCTCATATTGATGACATTTCTTTCTGATTGTATTCTACTAGTATGGTCATCTTGCTCTTGTTCTTTTCCGTTACAGTCAGGATACGGAAGCTGAAGAATCATCATCCGACGACAGTGACTGACTCTATTTTTCAGAGCTATAAATAAACTGTATATTTTCTCGCAATTGATTGTGTTCTCGTGTGCCTAAATACTGATACTTGAGGACAACAGTCGATGGGCTGACGTAACTTGTGTACAAGAATATTCGTGAAGCATCCCCCTTACTGCGCGTTTTTGACAACTATTCAGATTTGCACGTTTAGAATGTTAACGCATGATATAAGTGGTGTTAATATAAGATGTGTCATCGAAAACAGCCATTAGCCGATCCCCACTATATTTAAAATATCTTTCTGGTTATTGTCCCCAATGCCAGTTTTCTGGAGTTGGTCAAGTCATTTGTTGAATCTCAAACTACTAAGTCAAATTTATGTCAGTGGATGTCGATATCTTGTTATAACGTTAGTGAGTCGAGGTCACATAAACTATATGCTCACTGATTATCATAAAGAGCGAGTTAGGTGATGAAGTATTGCGTTCACTGCTAGATAGAGTAAGGATGGATATCCTCCCTAGAAGCCAATCCCGAAAACACATCTGCTGGTTTCGTGTTATCTCGCGTTGCAAGGCGATAAATAATCATCATGTCGCTGTTGAACTTTTATTGGTACTCACCAAGACGCTTCGTGCGCCATACAGAGGAACGTAGTTTGGCATAATCGGATTTACCTTAGTTCGTTAGTTTAGCATTCAGACGGAACACTGGGATTCCGGTCGTTACACTAATTGCAGTAATTTTAACCCTGTCCCTTGAATTATTCTACTGGTACCGATATCACTGAAAGTCAATATATACGAACAGGACTACATCGTCTATCCGAACTGACTTTCTGGTTTAAATCCAATGTAGTGTCATTATCAGCATTCCTGATGCATCGGTTGTTTCACCACTCGACCATTACTTATCTAGGGATGGATCACTTATACTGTCTATTAGTTAAAATATTAACTACCAGTTAGTGTTATGCGTTTTGATATGACTCGCCAAGTCATTTTTCTACTGAATCATGTCTGGGTTTCTTTTTCTCTGAATTAGCCAGGTCGTTTTTTATTTGGCACCTATTGTTAACTAATCTAAACATTTTGAAGCCATTTACATGTTATTTCTAAGTCAATTGCTCCTGCTTTGTTTGATTTACCGTTCAGCTTATGGTTACTGTAGGATTTTTTCCAACCTCTTTGTGAACTCTGGTGTGCTATGGCCTTACTCGGTTTGATACTACTAGGACAATGAACCAACACTGAACCCTTATCACAATTCGTCCATCAGGCTGAGCGGATTTAAAGCCCAACAGGAGAACACTGGATATTGAATAGTAGATGGGAAGTGTGGAATGAGATTGAGTGTCAACTCTGGAACATAGTTGAGGCGGTATAGCTCGGCCATCCAGAAGTGATCATTGCGACCCCTTCATTTTTATTTTGAGCATATCATTTCATCCGTAAGCTTGATTGTTTTCTTCAAAGTTTCCCAGAAAAATACCCCGAACCGTCTCAATAATATTAGTTAGTTTTTATATATTTATATAATGAGAAAAACGTGCATGACACTCGTGGACTTTTATACAGTTGTATATGTATTTGACTTGTTCTTCGTTGTAAAGGGTACGTATTGTGATCGACTCAGAACTGTTTTATCACTACTGACGAATAATTATATCTGAAAACGAAGAATAGATGAATGAACGTTATAACCGAGTAAATATTTTAAAATTATGCTTTGAGGTATACAGTTGGTAAAATGTATGGATCTCCCAATAATATGCTGGTCCTACAAATCTATTGTCGTGACTGGAATTTCCAAATAAATAAAAACAGTGGATGCAATATTTCAACTTCAAGAGAGTAGTGATAAAGATAGTTTTCAGGACTCAGTGTTTTATTGAAATAGTGCTGCAAATATTTTTTCAAATTCCCTGGTACGGCCGAGAGTGGGAAGAGTCCGCTCTCCCTCTCGAAATGCTCTCACATGGCCATGCGTATATAGCCTCTGCCAGGGAAGTCCTACTCACTGCCTTCTCGTGGCTGGGGTGTTGTTTACGAAAATGGGAGGACGAACAGCGAATGTCCGGCACTTTAACCGGATCCCAAACCAAATCAATGGTGCACATGGGCTCCAGTATCCTGCGGGAATAAATGGTGTATGAACCAATTGTTGGTCGCCGGCTTCCACGGGACTGCATCTCCATACGATGCCCCACTGCCTTGTGGATCAGACCTCCGGGGAGTGGCCCCCTAAGAAAACCACCTGCTTCGGTTTGGGCACCCGGGCAGTATCGCAGCCCTCACACATATCGAATGAGATTTGTGCGGCGCATATGTATTTGGTGCCTCCTTGAACCAATATTTATGTGTTAAAATAAATAATTTTTTCAAACAGGAGTGGATCGTTTCAGCTGTTCAAACAACTGTTAGATTGTGCTTCATCACGTCAGAAGTTCGAATATTTAAAAGTATTTTTACTATTTAAGGCTGTATAAAGAAAATCATGTAGTGACTAAGAATCTCGTTGCTCATGCTGGACGTCCTAAAGGGTAACACGGCAAACGCTGTCAACACACACTTCGGTATCTGCAGTCTACATCGTGACAGTAGGAGTTCCGGATAATCATCGGGGTTGAAAACACTGCCGAATGATATCTTCGTGGTTATCGAAAATTGCAGTAACACTTATGTTTGTTAGCGTTTTTTTCTTTGTAACCAGCATCCCTTATCAGGCGAGTGTTATCTAGATATGTAGGTTTTATTTGTTTTGTTACTTAAAAATAGCATTGATTGTAGAATTTACAGTCTGCACCATTAAGATGTGCATCACTCTCAGGTTATCTTGAGACCAGATCATCTATCTATATAAAGTTAAAATCGGAATTTGAAACATCCATGGATAGGATGTGCATGTCTTTGCGATTTTTAATGGTTGTATATAGCCTGTTTGACAGTTCACTGCGTTAGTACAATGGTAGCCTGGTTTACAACGTGAATTATCATAAAATTAGCCTTATTTATTTGTATCAGAAGGGTCTTTGTGGATTTTAAAGTAATTTCCTTGGTTGAGATCATAGGTCGATTGAAGCTAGACCATCATGAAAAACCGTAAGCACTGGATGGCCATTTCATCCTATTGTGGGACTCCTCGGCAGTGCGCATCCACGATCCCACCTCGCGAGATTCAAATCCAGAACCTATCAGTTTCGCGCGCGAGCGTTTAACCACTAGACCACTGAGCCGGCATCCAACGATGTTAAGGTCTAATTTCAACCAATCCACTGAATTGAGCGACACATCCACCATTGTCTTCAGTGAGTTAGTATCTTACAACAGACTCAGTTAAGCTCCACTGGTCACTGTTTCTCATTAGAACTCCAGGAAATGGCTCTCGAAGCCAGTCACTCGTGAGCATATGTCAATTCATATCAGAAAGGTTTTCTGGATATTATAGTAGTTTCAATGGTGTCAATTGATTTATGTCATCATAAATGAATTCATAGAAAACATTTATTCCCGACGCTGGAAAAACAGTCGGGATTTTATGGCATTCGGGTAAATGAAATTTTTTTAGCTGATTACCACATAGAGATTATGCTGGAGATAGTTTTGTGTTAATTTTGAAGACAAAAATAACTCTAGTAAGTACCAAACATTTGATTTTATGATATATGTGAAACAACCTACGGTAGGGCCATTGTAGCGCGTTTGGACGTAAATAATCAAGAATTCGCAATCACTATTTACATGGACTGATCTAAGGGAACAGAGAAACATTGCCGTGCGTTATCATTTATCTTTTTATCCTCTATCAAAAGTAAAATCAACGACTGTGACACATTTTCAAGCGAAATTGAAAACGTATCGCTTTCCGTATTACACATGTTGAATTATCTCTCAGATAAGCGATTCAAACAGATCACATGTTGTTTCCTGTCAATACTTCGTTTGAGTACCGAAGTGGTGATGCTGCGGCTTGCCAAAACACTCCATGTCTGGTGTTAGACTGTGCTGCTTCACTTAATTCATGCAGGAGAACCGGGTGACATCACTAATATTTTTACAATAGTGTAACTCCTCTCTGTACACTTATATATTTACTTGATTAGTGTTGAATACCACTGAAAATTGTCTAATAAATTTGAAAAGTGATTTATTGTGGCGACGGACTGCAAGTATAATACCACTTACTCAGATTAGTTGATAAAAATGGAGTTAGATATAGACATTTAACCAGTTTCCTTTCAGTCTTATTGATGATAGTATGCTTGCTTATAACGCGAGCGTCTGTCTTCGTACATTAAATAAACTAATAACTGAGAGGAACATAGCTAACTGTTTTTCTGTCTATAGTTTCTTTTTTTGTGGTCATGTAGGATAATTCAGTCGGGTGGAATATTATTCATTCAGTAATTACGTTTTGTTTAACTGCTGTAACGTATATGTAAATTTGCTAACTTATTTACAAAGTAAGTCCTAAAATAGTAACTGTTATAAAATATCTTACCATTCAGTCGCCTGTTCAGACGCTCAAGGGATTTGATTAACCGCTCCTCTTCTATTGACAACGCTGACGGTATTTCAGGTCTTCCTTCAAAATTCAACAGTAAAATAAATTATTCGAGAAAGATATTCTAGGTGTTAAGTCAAAGGAAACTTTATAAAAGGCTAATACGAACTAAAATTTTAAATAAGGTGAGTAAAGATGATGATTTACTTTTGAGAGGACCATTTATATTTAATTAGTATGTTCGCGTAGGTAGATAACAACTTGATTTTAGTCCCATAGATCGAACACTTCTAATTTTAACGTGCGACTGCGAGAGGAGGAATCTCGGTATATAAAGATGTTTTTGATTTCTATAAAACTAGCTGTTGAATAATAGGGTCTTCATTGTGCAAGAAAATTCTAAAATGTCATTGGTTTTTAAAGTTTAACGTGAAAAATGTACTGTTTTAAAACAATTCTAATGTTTAGGTATGTTAGTTCTCAAAATAAGTATAATTTCCAAAACAAAAAAGTGTCCTTTAGAGTTCCTTTTTCGATTGAGTTTTACTTGAGAAGGCAATGAAGCTGAATAATATTACAGATGATTGCTTCCCCATTGCACTATGACAATCGGAGCGATACTGAAGTATAACAAAAAGGTGCTACAAAAACACTAGACGATTGTGCTATGCAACAAACACTTTAAAGCTTGATGAACAATACTTCACTGTAGAACGAATCAAACTAAGGTCATTTCTATTGATCATTAACACGACTATTTTATACATAATAGAAAATTACGCACTAATGTTCCTACCTGGATTTCAATTGTTAATTTGCAATCCAACTTTAGATGTTATTTACTTTTTGACGGTTGAGCAGTACACTTGACTCTTACATGCTAAAAACACTGCTAATTCGCTGTATTATTTAGTCATTCTTCATCAAAAGAAACAGATGGGAATATGGATTTTTAATGTGTACAGGAAGAGATTAGAGATAATATTAGGGAATGTGGTAAAACTAAATAAATATACTTTACTAAAAACTCCATACTGGATGAGATACCAGTAAACTAGAATTCATATGCTATTACTGTATATTACTGCTCAACTGTCATAAGTAGTACGTTTCACAGACCCTAAATCAATTTCCATTTTAGTTATTCAAGCCTGATATTGATGATGATCAAGTTTAATTAAAAAGTGGGTAATTAAAACCAGGTTACTTGTGATGTCCATCCTGTCTACAAATCTACGGCAGAAAGTACTAATCATAAAAACAATAGAAAGTTATTTATTTCCGAGAATATTTCCACTTGATAATGGGCGTTGGTGATTACTGACCGTTAGCTAATCATTTAATCTAAACGTTAATGTTTGTTTTAATTAGGATCACTTCGAAATTAGAATTTGTATAAAGTGTACAAATGATATAAGGAATAAGGTTTTCTTCCGTTTTCCATGTAAAGAGAAAAAAAAGTTGAATATCTATTAAGTTAATTCCTTGATACACTTCAATAGCGAAACCTTCCTGTGGCTCTCCTTGTGTTACTGCCGGTCCCAAGCATACTTGAAGGAGGAGGGTTGAGCATTGGGTCAGCAACCCCATCCCATGGAAAACGGAATAATCATTTTAAACAATTTAAACTTTTCTGGAGGTTGAAGAATCTTCTTTCAGGAAGATTATAGCACCTCATGGAAAAAGCCTAAATTCTTCGGAAGTCACGAGACCGATGCTCCTTCTAAAAACCAGAGCATCAATTGATATAGGTACATGAAATGTCTAGACAATGTGGGACACCGGGAGGACTAATCAAATGGCAACGGAAATGAGGAGAATCAATCCAGCGGTTCTTGGATTAATTGAAACCCATTGAACCCAAGCTGGGCAGATAAGGATAAATTCGGGGGGATGCTGCAGTACTTTGGTCACGAAGATGGAAATGCTCCATACACTCGGGGAGTCGTTCTAATGCTCTCTAAAGAAGCACGAAATGCACTTGTAGGATGGGAATCTCATGGATCCAGAATCATCAAAGCATCATTCAAAACAAAGAAGGAGGGCATAACAATGAATGTTATCCAGTGTTAAACACCAACCAATTATAGCGATGGAGTCGATGAAGATCAGTCTTATGAGAGTCTGAAGTCGGTCGTAGAGAAGTGCTCAGGAAAAGACCTGACTATCCTGATAGAAGAACTACACTCCAAAAGTGGAATGGACAACACCGGATATGAAGATATCATCGGACGACATGGACTGAGAGAGAGACGAGAATGGGGAGAGATTTGCAAACCAATGTGCATTCAAGAAATTGGTTATAGGAAGCATAATATTCACACACAAAAGCATACACAAAGCTACATGGATGTCACCGAACCACACGACAGAGAACCAGAAAGATCATACTTGTATCAATAAAAAATTCTGAAGGACAAAGGAAGATGTGAGAACCAGGAGAAGAGCTGACATAGCTTCAGATCACCACGAACTGGTGTTTGCCAAGATGAATCTGAGGCTAAAGAAGCACTGGGCAACTGGAAGAGCAGCATTACAAAGGTTCAATACAGCCATCCTTCCACATACTGACAAACTCAACGAATTCAAGATAACGCTCAACAACAGATTCCAAGCCTTACAAGATTTACTGGAAGAAGAGGAACTACTATGGAAGACAATGGGAAGGGGATCAAAGAAGCTCTAACTTCAACGTTTCATAATAACGAATGGATAACTGTGGAAACCCTGAACAAGATTGAAAAAAGGAGAAACAAGAAGATAGCAATTAACAACAGCCGAACAAGAACAGAGAAAATCAAGACACAAACTGAATACACTACAGCAAACGAACAGGTAAAGACGAGCGTTAGAGCTGACAAGCAGAAATACGAGGAAGACCTAGCAACGACAGTGGAAAAAACTGGTAGAGAAGGAAATATGAGACAACTATTTGACACGACGAGGAAACTGACAGGGAAATATAGTAAACGAGAGAGACCGGTCAAGGACAAAGAAGGCAGGCCAACCATTGAAATCCAAGAACAGAGGAACAGATGGGTAGAGTACTTTGAGGAACTGTTGAATAAACCAGGTGAATTGAATCCACCGGACATCGAAGCAGCACATGCAGACCTATTTATAGATGTCACTTCACCAACGACCGGAGAAATATCGATGGCCATCAGATAAATCAAGAGCGGGAAATCAGAAGGACCTGGCAATATATCAGCTGAAGCACTGAAGTCAGATATAGATGCAACTGCAGACATGCATCGCCTTCTATTCAAGAAGATTTGGGAGGAGGAATAAGTGCCGACGGACTGGAAAGAAGGACGTTCAATCGAGATACCAAGGAAGGGAGATTTGAGCAGATGTGAGAACTACAGAGGCATCACACTACTGTCAGTGCCAGAGAGTCTTCAATAGAGTGTTGATTAACTGGATGGAAGACGCAGTAGACGTCCAACTTCGAGATCAACAGGTTGGATTCCGTAAGGGTCGGTCGTGCACAGACCGAATCGGGACACTACGGATCATCGTCAAACAATCAGTTGAGTGGAACTCGTCACTATACATCAACTTCATTGACTATGAGAAGGCGTTTGACAGTGTGGATAGGTATCAAACAACGCTGCTTACTCTCCACCTTTCCCTTCCTTCTGATGGTTGACTGGATTATAGAAACCTCAACGGCCCATAGGATGCACGGAATACAATGGACAGCTTGGATGGGGCTTGACAATTTGAGCTCCACATATTACATATCCCTTCCATCCTATAAACAGCGACAAAAGCAGGTCAAGACAATCAGCGTAGTAGAAGACTCCGCATCAGTAGGTCTCACCGTACACAAAGGGAAAAGCAATGTCCTCAAACACAACACAGGGGACACCAACTAAATCACACTTGATGGATAAACTCTGGAAGAGGTGGAAACTTTCACGTACCTGAACAGCATTATCGATGAACAAGGAGAATCTGATGCAGATATGAAGGTATGAATTGGTGAAGCAAGGACAACATTCCTATCGTTAAAGAACATATGGAACCAAGAAAATCTCAGCCAACAGTAAAGTGAGAATTCACGATACGAACGTAAAGATGGTTCAGCTGCACAGAGCTGAAACGTGGAGAACTACTACAACTATCATAAAAAATGTATAAGTACTTATATACAATTGTCTACGTAAGATACTCAATGTCCGTTGGCCGGATACCATTAGAATCAACCTACCGTGGGATAGAACAAATCAGCTTCCAGCCGAAAAGAAAATTAGGAAAAAACGCTGGAGATGGATAAGAAGTTCATTGCGGAAATCATCAAACTGCCTCATGAGACAAGCGCTGACTTGGAATACTGAAGGGAAACGAAAAAGAGGAACTCCGAAGAACACACTGCATCGAGAATCGGAAGCAGACATGAAAAGGATGAATAGCAACTGGAAACAACTTTAAAGGATTGTCGAGAACAGAGTGGGTGGGTGGTCTATGCTCCTTCACGATGGTTGACAGACTCATATAGATAAATAAGTAAGTAAATCCACTTCTTAACGGTTAGATAAAACAATCGGATATTCAAAGGTTAAAAATAATCGGCCGAAAATACATTTAGTAAACTCAATTAACATTAAGAGTTGAAAGTTAAGCAAAGGTTTCATATAGTTATGACTTATGTTTAAGCATTTAATTACATATTTTGAAAAAACTGTAGACAGACTTTCTCAATCATTTTTACTGATAATCTAACATAGGGAAGTTAATTGTTTGAGGTTATATTTATATTAAAAAGAATTCAATCAAAGCAATCAACTTAATGCCTAATGTATATCTTCGGAAAGCATTTTAATAAGTGCTTTGATGCGTCCTTAAAATCATTCCCTATCAATAACTACTATCCATTAAATATGAATAGACTTCATTAGCTCAACAGATGGAATACAATGCTTACAGCAATTGTAGTTCATGCATTTTAAGAAACATAAAAGGAATGTAAATGTAGATTGAGTACATGAGTTCGGAACGCAAAGAAATATCTATCTTGACTTCTACTTCTAGTGACTCTTGAACCATGCCAAAGCTAGTAGCGGCTTTTTAGTTAA